AGATGAGCAAGCTCGGCCGCGACTTCTTCTTGCATCAACTTGTAGTCGTCTTTGCGATCGACAACTTTCAACTCTTCTAGTTCTCTTAACATTTCTTTCACCTTGATGCCTTTGCGTACAAGCGTCGCATCTTTGGATGTTGCTGCTTTTTCCGCAATTCCCGAAAGGTTGATGGGTCGTTTGTCGGCAGCGTGAGGGATGGAGCGAATGAGCTGCACAAAAATAGACTTGGTTTCCATGTACAGAATTTCGTTTTGTGTAACATTATTTTCCGCCATTAGAGCTGTCGTGATATCTTGAATGGGTGTTTCCCAGCGACTGAACAAGGAAAGATCCAACGTTCGATTTTCCTTGCGGGGAACCTGGGCTGGAGCTGCCCCCAACTCATCAAGGAGGATGCGCAGATGCTGCTTTTCGTTGGGTGCCTAAATGAAAAAATTAGAAGCTGAAATAAATCAGTATAAAAGTACTTACAAGAACATTCGCGTGTTGCGTCAGTAGCGAATGAGTGTTGTACATCTCATTCAACGTAATATGTATCATAAGATCTTTCTTAGACAAGGCCATATATTGATCCATCTTGAAGTCCCCAATGGAAAGTTAGCGCGAACCAGACGGAATTATGACATCCTACGAACCTCCAGTGTATCATAAAAGTCTCCGACCTCGCAGAGATTATTGAGGAAAAGATTTATACGAGCTTTGTTATTCTCCACAAATGGATTAAGAGAGGCCATATACGCTTCCTTGGCATAAGATGGCTTGTTGGCCAAATTTTGTAACATCTTTGCTATCTATAGTAGGATATGTCAGTTGGTATCCAATGAATTTTTATTACGATTTGAACTGAATTACCAAAGTCAATGTTCGACGCGGGTGCTTTGCAGGGACACCATCCACGAGCATATAAGCTTGCGGCGTTACTACAGCTGGATTGATGAAACGAAGGAAGAAGAATCCTCCTATGAGCGAGCAGATAGCATAGTCCGTGGCGTCCGGATATTTACGCTAAAAATCGGGTAGAATTAGCGGGCAGAAGAATAAGAAAGAGTGCTGTCGTACTCTGGTAAGACTGCGAATCTGTTTACAGATCCAACGAATACCGTAGGGAACGGTTTCCATGCTCTCGATGATAGTTAACAAGAAGCTGTTGGCGATCTCCATGAGCATCGTAAGTCGTGGGGCAATGATGGCCTGTACGTCCTGATTGGCGGATGCGACCTCGGGCGGAACACCTCTCGGTAAATTTGGCGGAAGGGTTCCGGTCTCTTCTTCTATCTGAGTAACCATTTGTTCGTACACCTTCTCGAGATTAGCTACATCACGACCATTACCATAGAGGGAACCATACCTTCAAGGGATTGATTTCGAGGTTCAGGTCTCGGTGCTCGATCAAGCTGTTAATCCTTTCTGCCAAAACACTCTTGAGGTAACTTTGGCCGGGACCGCGGCGCGTGTACGTGGTCATCATTCGCGAGACAGGCGTATTGGCCCGGAGAAGAGAGCCGAATTCAGTCGCGGTCTCGAACTGCGCTGATAGAACGGACTATAAGCGCCAAAGCATCAGCACAATATGCGGTAAATCGGATAAATCATGAGAGCAGTACCTGGAACATGGTCAAGAGCAGATGCTCTTCTCGGCTCTCATATTGGTTGCCGTACAGTGTGAACATTACGGTTTGGAGGAGGGTATCGATTTCTGCAAGACTGACTAGACGACATAGGGAGGCGATATGTCTGGGCTCTGATTGCAGGAGGAAGAAAAGATTAGAATATTGCTGTAAAAGTGAATGAGCTCGAGCCTCGGCCAACTTCAGGGGTGGTTCACCAACCGTAAGTTTGCGTTCTGGAGG